AATGTCATTTGCCATTAGAGATACCTTCTTAAGATCTCCTACCCACTTACTCTCATTCGGTACCTCTTCCAATTTCATACCAGCTTTTACCAGATATCCACATCCAGGACCAATGCTTTTGATAGCCATGTCTCTCACAACATCATGCATCTTAACTGTCTTTTCAACACATTCCTCTAATAAGCAATTCTGTAGAAGCTGATTTAAAATAGCACGGCCCCTATTATAAGCTTCTTGTCTACTTCCCAACTCATCAATCACAATCAGTCCTTCATCAATCCACTCTTCAATTAACTCCTCTCTAACAAACTCATAATCTTCCCGAAACAAGGAGCAATACAGAAAACATTGTTGGATCTCAGGAATTCTTAGACGGTCATAACTAAACCTTAACCGTCCAAATATTGCATCTTCAACATATTTCACACTTCTTACACATAGGCGTAATTCATTAAGGGCATTTCTCCACTCTGCAATATCATCTTCTCCCTTCAAACTCCCTGCTATTACAACAATTGCCAGTGGCAAGCCGTCGCACTCCTCCACAATAAGCTTCAAGGTTTCTTCCAATCCTGAAACTTTTTGTAAAACATCACGTCCAACCTTCTCGAGGAATAGGTTTAGAGATTCCTCTGGTGAAAGAGGTTGCACTTTAACAATCTGACAATCCAAAGACTTGCATACTTCAATAGATCTAGTAGTGATGACTACTTTGCTCTTATTCTGCACTGGTTCCGGGATTCCAACATTCATGAGAGAAAAATTATCCCATACATCATCTAATATTAGCACAAAACTCTTTCTTCCCATTATATCTGTTAGTTCTGCTGCCCGCCTCATCTCTTCAACTTCCTGAAGGGTTTCATGCATAGCATCAACAATCTTCTTTTGTAATTCAAAAACATTGAGAGGGTATGAGTATGACACAGTAACCCAAATCACTTTCTGAAATCTGTCATCCCTCAATAAATCATTGTTAATATGCTTCATAATTGTAGTTTTACCAACACCACCAATCCCACAAACTCCAATCATTCCAACCTGGTCATCCATCAGGTGCTTCTGGATTTCACCTTTAGAAATTTCACCTTCTATATTTTCTGTTGGAATTCTAATTCCACGAGCTGGAGCTCTCTCAATCACAAGGCCTTCATTGAAATTGCCCCTCTCTTGAATTCTCTTCACCACTTCAATTTTTTTACGCACGAGTTTATCAAGACTGACTCGTCCGTAGAATGGAACCCCGCTGTGCACCCTTTTTTTAACATCTTTTATGTCTTTTTTGATCTTTTTAACAGCTTTAAGCCAGCCCCTCACATCTTTTTTCACCTTTTGCCCATGGCGAACCTCTGCTTCTATTCTTGAATTAATATCAATTTTTCTCCTTTTTAAAACCCGAAATTCGCTTTTCAACTCTTCCAGATCTTCTTCAAGTTTTCTGTAGTGGTCAACATATTTCTCAAATATATCAAGAATTCTCTCCATCGACGAATTTCCTAAAATGTAACAATAAAGTCGTTAAATTTATTTTTTATACGAAATAAAAAAATGTAAGACGGAAATCATAATAATATTAAACAGAATTTTAAGAGACGTCATTCCTAACATACAACAACAAATTGTGTACAGATACTAAAAAATTGTGTACAGAAGTTACTAAATTTTTTGTGGCAATACCACATGTGGAATTAAGAGCAGAAAATGATTAATATATTTTTTAATTTAATATATTTTATAATATATTTATTAAAAATTATTATTTTTACATATAAAATTCAAGATAAAAAAAATTTCATCTATAAGATTTAATCACTGAATAAGTAAATACAAATATATAGAAATAAAGGTGTAACAATTACTTTTTTTTTTTAAGATTATATTTTAAGCCTCTAAATAATGGTTATAGTAGATTTTAGTGAAACAAATGTAGAAAGTAATGTGTAGATAAGTTGCAGAAGCAGATAAATTAAAAGCATATTAATTAAGGGAAAAAAAATAGCAGAATCAATTAGAGGCATATCAATCATAGTCAATCTCAATTTGGGACTGAATTCCAATTGCCTAACATTCCTAATAGAAGGGTGAACCATAAGATTAGGTACAACGATAGAAATGAAAATGCAAACAAGCAAAGAAAAGCAATAACCCGCAAAAACCGAAGGCAAATGGGTGTAGGCGCGAAGCAGTTTTTGGCAGTTTTTGCAAGAAGAGAGAAGTTTATGGTTTGAGAAATTGACAGAAGTGGTGACCCAAATTCCTTTTTTTATTTGTATTTTATCTAATATTTTTTTAAGTATTTAAGTTGGTCTCAAATTTATAATTAAGTAAAGAAACATGCACCTATAATAGGAGAAAATTAAAATACTTGAAAATGAAAAAAAAATTCATTCGAATATGATCACTTGAACGCTTGAAGAAAGTTCTCTATTTACTTGAAGTATCCCGAAAAAACCACACACAAGATTGGAGATTTCCTCCCAATAAGGATATAATTTTTCAGGAAAATTTTAATTAATGATATATATTTTTCTCTAATAATTAAAGCTCACCCTTTAAAAATTTTTAATTAAAAACATGACCTTTGCAAGATTGTTTAAATTAAAATTATCACTTTTTAAAAATTTTTAGTAAAGGGTATAATCATCTACATTGATCCACTTAATTGTTCTTTTATAAAATTGTAAATATCACTTGATTATAAACTTTTTAAAAGTGGAAGTCTTGATTGGTAATTTAAAAAAAAAATCATGTTCTTAATTAGAAAAATTGTGAAAAGTTGTGTCTTTATTTGTGGAATGAGAAATCTAACAAGAAATGAAGCTTCATATCATTAAAAAAAAAAGAAAAAAAAGAGAAGGGAAATGAAGTTTATTTTCACTTTGCTAATAATTAAGCCCATGGATCTACATGAAAGCTTTAAGATATTTTCACTTTATTTATACAAACTCTAATGAGATCGAACATATATACCAAAATCAAGACTGAAATGGCGAAGATAGCTAGCGTACTGTGTACCTGGAGCGGTTTAGCAGAAAGAAATTGAATGAAGTTGGACACTGATAACAGAACAAGGCCAAGCAAATTCGAAGCAGCGGCACCCTGATTTTTTCTTATGAGAGGAGTTTAATTAGCCAACTGAGGAGAAGAGATCACTTCTGCCTTTAGTCAATGAGAAAGCCAATTGAAGGACATAATTAATATTTGGACATAGGTCCTCCTTAGATGGTGCAGGAAACCTGGTCAACCAATAGGTTGAAGCTGCTTCATCAGGAGAATTTTATGGGGTTAGAAATCCAAATTGATGCTATAAGAGATGAAAAGAGAAAACGTACAAAAGGAACTTCTAGCTGATCCTTTAAATGCCAATTTCTTAATTGTGAACAAAATTAAATCATAAATAAACAAAAGAAGAAAGAGAGTTAAATTTAGAGTGGATAAAAGGTTTTCAAGTAATGTCTGGTTAGCTTTGTCGTTCTTATACAAATTGAAAGCAATTATCTCACTAGAGTAAGTTTTAGAGATTTTTCATTTTCAATTAGGAGGATGAAAAGCTGCAGGGTTTTGTTTGGAATGATTTTTATCACTTATTTTAAAATTTAGACCGAATCAATCATATTGACTGCTTGACAAGAATTGGTACTAAGAAAGAGTCTGGATTAAGATATTAATTTAGTAGTAATCAAAATCTAGTGTGGTCAACACCTAATCAAATTCAGCCAAACCGATCAAATTTGGTCAAATCTAATAAAATCCGGTCAACTAAACAGGTTCTTTTTTTTTTTTTTACATTTTTTTATTTTTCTTTAATCTTTTATCTATTTATTTATAGATAACATAATAATTAAGTTGTAAAATTTATTTAAAGTCAAAATACTACTAATAAATGAAAACTTTTAAATTAATTAAAATGTAATTTGAATCAATTTTAAAAGACAAAATTAAGTTAAAATCAAATTAATTTATTTTTGAAAATAAAATCAGTAAAAAAAATTTATAATTAATAGGATGTCTGCATTAAGTGGTTCTTAATTAAAGGAAAAATATGTTAGATATTTTAATAAATTTAAGGATTTTTTAAATTTGTACCATTAGGGTAAAAGTTTAAAAAATTCTAAATTTAATGATTGAAATTAATTTAAAATCAATCATGAAAATATAATGAATTTTAAAAATAAAAC